TCTGCCCAGCCAGTTGCTCATTCCCAATATTGACTGGTTGCCCATCAACGATGGCATTATCAGCAAGCTGCAGAACAAACAGCTCGTCCGGCTGCAGTTTGGGAAAGCTCCTGGGCTCGTTGGTCACACTGTCTCGTCCCAGTTCGATGCCTTTGTCAGGTACAGAGACCTGAAACGAATGGTGGCGCAGTGAGAGAGGGTGTCGGGAGGGCTGGGATCTCTTCCCAGCTCTGAGAGGTCAGTGGCTTTGGGATGCCTGTGGTTTTTGGCTCGTCCGCTTGCTGGTGTGACCCAGGAGCGGTATCCTCTCTGCCTAAATTTGTGTCTTACTTGCAACGGGCTGGGAATTTAAAGTAGTGAAAAGAGATGGCAAATGGAAGGGGGGGAAATGCTAGTTTGCGATTAGGTTCCTGTCAGCATGGCCTCGGATCCCATGGCGCTCGGTGGACTAGGTAGTCAAAGCCTGTGTCATGTTGGCCACTGAAATGCAGCTCACTGGCCTGGAAACAGCTTTTAGAAAGTGATATTCTAGAAAAGTACCCGTCCTTCCTACCCAGGGCGCCTGGACAGCCCAAAATTGATCACCTGAGGCGGCTTCATTTGGGAGCATACCCAACGGAGGAATGCAAGTCATGCACCAGGTAAGCAGTGCAGGCGCAACCCCTTCGGTGCAGAGGCGGGCTCGGCAGAAGCTCGAACTGTTCTTTTTGTCATTCTGAAGCTCTCCTACTCTCTGTTTACCATCCTAGCCGGCATCCCGGTAACGTTGTATGTTAATTGCGTCTGCAGGAGGAAATGCTGCTTCTCTCATAAGGCTTTTGGTGTATGGCACTGCCCCTTGCACTGGAAGAAAGCCGTTGTGGTGGTGTTTAGGGCATCCCTAACCTGGGAGACCGAGATCCTTACAGTGCTTGCTGAAGAGCAGCTCGCTGACTCGAGATGGCTGCTGCTGTATCGTTGCAGCATGGCTGTTAGATTAAAAACCCTATTACTTTGCCTGGTGCAAAGTAACCCCCCAGCTCCATGCGAATTAACTGCATTCGTCATTGCCAGGGACTGAACTACATTTCCTGTAAGGGCTGACTTGTGCATCGCGGAATAAATACGATCCTGCTTTTGCAGGAAAATCTGAGGGCAGTCAGGCTGCGCAGGTAAATGGAGACCAGAATCTGGCCTGGAGGAGTCTTTATTAGTGATGAGAGATCCCCAGCTTGTTTTGCAGGTCTGGTCTTTAAATAAAACTACCTCTGTTCTTGGGGAGGAGCTGCTGAGAGGAAATAACCACAGTATCCATGGTGCCATTTTTGGGTCATCTTTCAAACTAGGTTTGCATTTTAAGTCCTTTTGTGCTGTCCTCTTCATCCACCCTCACAAAAGAGCCTGGATTTCAAAATAATGGTGCAGGGAGTGAACTTCCATCTAATCATGTGATTGAATTAGCTTTAATTATTGGTTTTAATAGAAAGTCTCTGTAGCAGATCATTTTTACAAGATGCCTGTCTGCTGTTTTATGTATAAATAGCAGCTGGGGGCTGTTGTCTTGAAGACGGCCTCCTGTTCCAAGATAACCTCCCTTCATTTAGGGTAATTGCTCGCATGGTTTCAGCTGGTTTTCAGTGCTCACAGTGTCACCTGCAAATGACAAAAGCTGGTTTCCTCCTCCTCGGAGACCCGTACAGGTGCCCCAGCAGTGCTGGCTTTTTTCCTGGGCTTCTGTGTCTCCTGGGCCTGGCTGCAGCTCTGTTCCCTTCCAGGTGTGGCTGTGTCACGATGCTGAAATCGCCAAACAAAGTCACCGCGGTGAAGCAGTGGGAGCAGCGCTGGATCAAAAACTGCTTGTGCGGGGGGCTGTGGAGGAGGATGCCCCTCAGCTACCCCTGAGCCCCCCGTCCAGGGGCACGGGGGAACAGCGGGCGCCGCAGGGGAGCTGCTCCGAGCCTCCTTCCTTGGAGGCCTTTGGGACCGAGGAAGGGCAGCCCTTCTCCTGCGCTCTCCCGAAGCATCGTCCTGATGCCGCCTGCGAGGCGGCGCCGAGCGGCTGAGCAGCAGTGCTGCTGCTTGTCTTGCCTTGATCTTTCTGCCTTAAAAAAGAGGGGAGGGAGCTCTCCCTCTTTTACAGGGAAGAGCTGGGAGGGCATGCCGGAGGTTTCCCTGTTGGTGTCAGCTGGGGCCAGGGGCCTGGGAGGAGCGAGCCCGGCTGCGCGAGTCTCGGCCGGGCCCCGGCGCACGCCCGTGCGTGGGCAGAGAGGTGACGGGTGGTGGCTGGGGGTGAGCAAAGTCCCTGTGAAGGGAGCAGATACCTGGCACCTTGTGTTCGTCCTTTGCTCCCAGCTGCTTGGAGGTGAGCGTGGGCTGGCTACTCCCTGTCGCCCTGCGCTTCTCCAGCCTTGCTCCTCTGATGGGAGACTCCGCCGTCGTACCTGTCTCTTTTAATGGAGCGATTTCTTCCCCCTCCGGAGGAGCAGGAGCACAGGAGTGCTGCTGCCTGGAGCAAACCCCTCTGTTTGGCTCTCACTGAACCAGCAGCTCCTTTGTAAATAAAAGTTCCCTTAATTTTGTACAGAATGTTTGCTTTGTTTTCAAAACTCCAGTGCTCTTTTGTGTGACTTCGGTCGTTCAGCGCTTGGCCAGGATGATTGGCGCACGAACAGAGGCGAAGCAGGAAAGCCCTGGTAATTGCACGTCTGTGAGGAAAGGAGCTGCCGTCATTTGCAAAATTGGAAGGGGAAATTAATGTTTTCAAGCTCCTGTCAGGTTATTATGGACACAAGAGGAGAAAACATCAAGTCGTTAGGATTGTTGTAAGTCCCGGGGGTCAGACAAAGCCGGACCCTTGAGCGTGTTTGAGGAAGAGTGTTGCTGCTGTACAGTGCTGCGCCGCTCCCAAGGTCAGGCGAAAATCACATCAACCCCTTGCCCTCGTGACAGCGCTCAGCGACCCCTAGAAATTGCTAGAAACTGCAATTTAAGGGTGCTGACGGTGCGTCTGCGGAACGTAGCGGCCCTGCCTGCTCCGTCTTTAGCTGGGTGATGAGGGCTGTCGCTGTGTGCTTGCTCTGCTCTCTAAGGCCCTCAGTTCTTAGGGTGGGCTTCTGGCTGCCTGGATATTGATTTAATTTTAAAAGCCTCCCGCGCGTCGGGGCGTAGCTGCCTCACTGCGCAGCGCAGCTTTGGGACTCCCAGGCGGCAGGAGCTCCTTTCAGCTGCTGCTGCGGGTTTGCGGGAGCGGGGCCGGAGCAGGAGCTGGATGGGGGAGCTGCCCTGGGCTCCTGCCGAGATCAAACCGGGCTGAGGGCGCTGGAGAACCGGGCCTAAACCTCCGCGCTTTGATGCCGCGCAGCCGAGGGGCCCGGAGCCGATTCCTGCCCGGCCGGACGGCTGCTGGGCACCCCCAGAGAGCCCTGACGGGAGAGCAGGCCCCGCTTTCCCTGTTCCTTTCCCTCGGGAGCTGCGTGTTCATGGGTCAGCGAAAAAGGGAGCTGATGGCAAAGAGCTTGTCTCGGCTCTGCTTAACGTGTTGCTGTAGGGAGCTGGTCTCTGCCTCGCTCTTCTGCTGGTAACTAAGGAAAGTCAAATGGCTAATTAGGAAACTGCACCTTCTTGTTCAGGCTCTTTTCCCCTGTAAGTAAAACTGTACTCAGCTCCGCTGCGGCTGTGCACACAGAAGGTGGGCTGTAAAGTCCAGAACCGCTTTCTCCTCCTCCGTCCCCCCTGCCAGGGCCTCCTCCCCGTCCCTCGCCCTCCGCTGGGCCGCACGCCAGCCGCGTCCGTCGCTCCTTGTCCCGCTCTGCCCTGCTCCCAGCTGGGGATGCTGGAAGGGTCTCGCAATTCCCTGCCGCGATGCTGCTGCCCCGCTCTCGTCCTTCGTGCCTTCGCCCTGGCCCTGCTGCCCCTAAGGACTGGGGGAGCCACGGCTGCGGGAGGGCGAGGGGCTCCTCTGCGCCGAGGTCCGGCGCTGGCCCTGCCGCGGGGGGGGCACAGACAGGGGCCAGGGCCTGGCCAGGGCCGCAGCGGTGCCGGCCGCTCCTGGGGCTGGAGGGAGGACAGGGGCTCTGCTTAACCCCCGCCCCTCTTGAAAACGAGCTCAGGCCAAGAGCCCAGCGCCAGCGTCTCCCGGTCCAGCCCCCTTTGCCTCTCCCTGGGACAGGGAGCGAGGGTCCTGGCACGGACCCTGCCCAGCCTCGTTGCCCGCCACTTTATCAGCCATTTGCAGATTCTGTTTCAGCACAATGACCCTGCGGGAGGCCCCAGCTTCGGACCTTATCGCCCATGGCCGTGCAGCAGGATGCATCCCCTGCTGCCCCGAGGCGTGGGCGCCCGGCCGGGGGCAATGGGCTGGGGCTGCTCGGCTGCGGGGCACGGGGGTGGGAGCGGGGCCCGGAGGGGTGCTGGGGTGTCGGCGGAGTCCACGCACCCCTTGAGGAGAGCCCACGCTGGGGCAGAGCTGGGGTCGAGCGCTCACAGCGGCGAGTTTGGGGGGTCTCAGCACATGGCCAAGGCGAAGGAGGGGATGGGGCTCCCTCCAAATGCGTGGGCGGTGGGGAGTGGTGGTGGGGAGCGGAGGGGGCCCTGGCCACGCCGTCCCCACGGGCTCAGCATCTCCCCACCTCGTGCCCAGCTCCTCCCGCTGCTGCCCACACCCCCGGGGCAGGGGCTCCCCTGCAGACCCCCCCACGGCCCCGGCAGCTCTGCAGGAATCATCATCGCTTTATTGCAGCGGGTTGCGGTCAGCGTTGCGGGCGCATTCAGCAAAGCCTGTGGCTTTTGCCAGCGTGGGGGCTGTGACCCCCCGCCCTCCCCCAGCTGGGCCCTGTGCTTTGCGAGCCGGGGGCCGGGGACCCCCATCCCCTGGTTTCTTGCTGGCCAGCCCTCCTCCCGGCACGGGGGATGCTCTGCCCCGGGAGCAGGTCGGGGCAGCAGCGGCAGCAGCAGCAGCGCGGGTGCTCTGGCCGTGCTGGCAGCAGCAAGCCGTGGCGTGGAGCCGGGTCCCTGGGGACGGCTCAGCGAGCGTCTCCCTCCCTGGCCGCCGAGGCCATGACGCTGTCGATCCAGGCTGCGTACGGGGCGATGCGGGTGTAGATGGCGGGTTTCTTGTAGTTGCCGCAGACGCGGGAGCCGGCCGTGACCACCCCTTCGGCCACCCCGCTGCAGACCAGGGGGCCGCCGGAGTCTCCCTGCAGGACCAAGGCTTATCAGCACCGCCGAGGGTTTGCTGGCTGCCCCAGCCCGTCTCCCACCCCGACCCTGGAGCTGGGGGTCCCTGCCTGACCCAGGGCTCCGCGGGGGGCAGAGCTTCAGCCCCTGGGTGCTCTCAGCCACAGGTTTCACCCACAGGAGCCGTGGGTTGGGGTCAGTCCTGTCCTCCCTCGCCAGCCCTCGCTCCTCCCCTGCTCCGGCAGCCCAGATCCCGGCTCTGCTGGGATGTGGTGGGGCAGGCGGGGGGACCTCCAGCGTGGCCCCTGGCATCCTGGCAGACCCACCGGTGGGTACCCTGGGGGCACGCTGGGTTGTGCCCATGGCCTCGTCCCTGGCTCCAGGCTCACAGGAGCTGCTTTGCTGTGGCCAGCACAGGGCAAGGAGCCCCCCTCACCCTGGGGACGCAGCCCCGTCCTGCCCCGCAGCCCCACGCCCTCGCCTCTTCTGGCTGCGGGCATCCCCCCGCCCCAAACCCCGAGTGGGTCGGCAGCCCCAGCCCGTGGGTCCGGCCACGGTTCCATGTCCGGGAAAGGAGGGAGCGGGAGGCCGGGGGAGCGGTACCTTGCAGGTGTCCTTCCTGCGGGAGTCAGTGCACATCATCTTCTCGGTGACGGTGTGGTCGTGGTAGGTGCGCTGGTTGCAGATGTCACGGCTGATCACTGGCCGCTCCACCTCGTAGAGCTTGCCTGGCCGGCGGCCGCTGTGGCTGGTGGTGCCCCAGCCTGCCACCAGGCACATCGTGTCGGCCGCCACGTCTCTGTCCTCCCGCTGGAACGGCAGCACCTGCACGTGCGCGTTGAGCTCCGCTTTCTCCTCCAGCTGCCACGAAGCAAGAGGGGACCAGGGTCAGCAGGGGCTGTCTACGGCCCGGGACCCAGCGGGGCACAGCGAGCCCAGCCCTGACGCCGTGACAGCCCCAGCCTCGGCCGTGCTCCAGGCTTCACCGTTCCACCCACAGCCCCCGGCGCCGCAGCCACAAGGACCACGGGGAAGACGGAGGCATCTGGATGCAGCCCAAATGGGAGACGCGAGTTCGGTCCCACAGGACAGGGAAGGGGGCACAGAGGGGACGGAGCAGTCCCAGCCTGGCCTTGGGGGCTTCCCCCATGTCATCAGGGACCCCACGGGGTCCCAGGGGGCAGAGGGATTTGCAGGAGCAGGGAGGAGGGTCCCGGCAGCCCCAAGCCCACCTGGAGGAGGAGGAGGTCGTCCTTGTTATTGTGGATGTTGCTGCCGGGGTGGGGGATCTGGGCGCGCACCCGGTACAGGCGTTTGTGGGGCTCCGGCTCCGTCAGCGAGTGGGCGCCCAGGAGGACCTGGAAGACTTTGCCGTCCCTGGAAGAGAGGCAGCGCGTGGGGCACGCGGAGCTGGGGCTGTCGCTGCACCCAGCCACAGAAACAGGGTGCTGTGGGGTGCCAGAGAGCCCCCACTGGCTGCCGGGAGCTCCCGGGGGGTCACTGCGGGCGGGAGCAGAGCCCTGGCGCTCCAACACTGGGGTCGGGGCTAGGGAGCAGGATTTGGCCTGAGCCAGCAGCCACCCCCAGCACAGAGCAGCCCCCACGCTGACCCCCAGCACTCACATCTCCTCGGTGCAGTGGGCAGCGCTCAGCACCCACTGCTCAGCGATGAGGAAGCCCCCGCAGACGTGCTGCCCGTCCAGCTGCAGCGAGGCCATGTACGGCCTCAGGTGGGGCTTGGCCTCATAGCCCCCCAGGATCCGTCCCCGGGGCTGCCCTGTTGCAGGCGGGAGAGAGGCCGGGTTAGCCGGGCATCGCCCCAGCCAGCCCGGACGGAGCACGGGGCAGGGTCACCCCGGCAGCCCCCTCCCGGCGTCCCTGTGCCCTTCCCTGTGCGCCACGGCAGCGCCCGGCTGCGGACAGAGGCAGGAATCGGGGGGCTGGGAAGGACCCCCACCCTGTGCTGGGGATGTCGCTGCCCCAGCCTGTCCCCGTCCCGGGGTGCGGGGGGACGCGCTCACCATTCACCAGGGCCCCCAGCAGCAGCAGCAGAGCGAGGACGAGGACAGGAGCAGAACTCAACCCCATGGCTGCGGTGGAGCCCGGCGCTGCCTCTGCCCTGGCCGTGGGGTCCGTGGGCTCTGTGGGACGGACGCGGCTCAGCCGGGGCCGGGGCTGGGGCTCGCTTTTATGTCCAGCTTCGGGGCAGCAGCGGGGCAGGAAAGGGCAGCGCAGGAGGAGCCGGGGGGGTTTCCGTAGCGTGGGCCGAGTGTTTTTAAATATTCAGCTTATAAAAGGGATCAAGAGTTCCCGGCACGAACAGCGCAGGGAAGGAGGAAACAACAGCCTGTCCCAGCTGCTGGACCTGGCACCCGCTGCGGGGGATTTCTGCGCTGTTGTTTTCAAAGCCAAAACCGAATCCGGCTCTTGGCACGTGAAGGCTCCGGCACATGCGGCAGCGCCCAGGCCTGACCCCAGCACCCCCGGACCAGGAACCTCCGGCTGGCTGCCTGGGGAGGGTCGGAGGGAGCGTGGCGGTGGGTGCTGGGTGCCAGCACGGTGGGTGCCGGGTGCCAGCTCGCTGGGTGCCCGGGGCCGTGGTGCGGAGCTGAGCATCGCCGTGGGTTTGCCCTTGGGGCTGGCGAGGACGGGACAGCAGGGCCAGGACCAGCAGCACCTGGAGGGGGTGCCCATGGGAGACCCCTGCCCCGCGAGGAGCTCCTGCGAGGGCTGGGGGGCGGTGGCG